GTTAGCTCCTATAGCGTCTTTTAATTATAAAATCGTATCATCTGAAAATAGGGATAGTTTGATTTTTCATTTCCTATTTTTATCCCCTTTATGCTTTTCTAATTACTTGTTGTATCATATATCTCATTGTTTATAGCGAGTCTCAGTTATTTAAATCATTTGACTTTATTTCTGGTAGATTATATACATTTATAAACTCTGTTAGTTTTTCCACCTCCGTAGGTTATGTTTATAAAGTAATCTCTAAAAATGTTCTGTATTTCATTGGACTCTGTTGTAATGACAAACTTTTGATCTCTGATTTTGTTACTTTGTATAAATCTCTCTCTTTCTTTTTGCTAGATTGACCAAAGTTTTGTCAATCTTGTTAATGTCTTCAAAGAACTCTTTGGTTGCTTTTGTATATTGCTCTTTAGTTGCTAGTTCATTAATTTCTTCCCTAAACTTTATTACTTCCTGCTGTCTATAGGTTGTTATGATTGGTCACTTGTGCGAGAGCCTTGAGGTGCATCATCAGGTTGTTTATTTGATGCCTCTCAGATTTGTTTTTTTAATTTTTGCGATTTTCATACAATACAGTGTGATGGTATTTAGATCCACTCTCCTATCCAGACCCCCCCACATCTCAATGTAATACACACACACACACACACACACACACACACACAAGTTGTGGGGTAGGGAAGAATAAAAATCACATGAAGGCATAGTCTTATTTGTGTCCCCAAAAGACCTTCTGTCCACTGGATCCAACAAGAGTCCCGTTTCTGTAAGACACTGTCTTTCCACCTCCCAGCAGCCAAACTGCCAAAAGTTCCTTAGCTTATGTTGGGATTCCTCCCCCACTTCCTTATGACATTTCTGAAAGACACTGTCTTTCCACCTCCCAGCAGCCAACAATTGCCAAAAGTTTCTTAGCTTATGTTGGGATTCCTTCCCCACTTCCTTATGACTATGCTGGGATTCTGTCTGATTTGAGCTTGATTGGGACTTGTGCATGCTGTCACTGTTGCTATGAGTTTATATGAGTAACTGACCAGCTGTCTGGAAGGCTCTGCTTCCTTGTGGTCATCCATCACCTCTGGCTCTTACAGACTTTCTGCCTCCTGTTCTGCAATGAAGCCTGCTCCTTGGGAAGCAGAGGTTTGAAACAGGTGTCCTAATCAATGATAAGCCCTCTGCAGCCTTTTGTTCTCTAGGCATTGGAAAGTTGTGGGTTTCTGTGTTAATCACCATCTGCTGAGTAATTTCTTAGATTTTTAAAAAAATATATTTCATAGGGCTGGAGAGACAGCTCAGCAGTTAAGAACACTGACTGTTCTTGCATAAGACTGGGGTTTGAATCGTTCTGCAATGAAGCCTGCTCCTTGGGAAGCAGAGGTTTGAAACAGGTGTCCTAATCAATGATAAGCCCTCTGCAGCCTTTTGTTCTCTAGGCATTGGAAAGTTGTGGGTTTCTGTGTTAATCACCATCTGCTGAGTAATTTCTTAGATTTTTAACAGCACCCACGTGGCAGTAAACTGTCCTTAACTCAGTTCCAAGGGATCTGAGAGCCTCTTCTGTCTTCTGTGGGCATTGCATGACACAGGTACACTTATCTACATGCAGACAATACACGCATACACATAATATAAAAATAATACAAATATATTTCATAGGGCTGGAGAGACAGCTCAGCAGTTAAGAACACTAACTGTTCTTGCATAAGATTGGTGTTTGAATCCTAGTACCCACATGGCAGTTAACAACTGTCCATAACTCAGTTCCAGGGGATCTGAGAGCCTCTTCTGTCTTCCATGGGCATTGAATGACACAGGTCCACTTATCTACATGCAGACAATACACGCATACACATAATATAAAAATAATACATGAAATATTAAAGTATATATATTTCATGTATTATTTTTAGAATGTGTATGAGTGTATTACTTGTATGTATGTAAATATAACCATGTCATGCAATGCTGGTGGAGATCAGAAAAGGGCATCGTATACCCTGGAACTGGAGTTAGGGATCATTGTTAGTCACTCTATGGGTGCTGGGAACTCAACCCAGGTTTTTTGCAAGAGCAAGAGCAGTCAGTGCTCTTAACCACTGAGCCATCTCTCCAACCCACCTCTCAGATTTCTTAGATGACTCACTTT